ACATCCCTCGTTACCATGAGCTGTTGCCCAAGCTAGAGGAAAAGAAGGCGAGTACACTATGTGTTTGTGTTGGCTGGTGTTTGTGTCCATGTGGTGCTACTGTATACATGCTAAAGGTGGACTAATGAAAAGTGTAACAGATAAGAGCTTTAGGGGAATGGGATCAATATCAAGATCTGTCCCTTTAGGGATAGTCGTTTTGAAATGAGCCTATGTAACTTGTTGAGTGGTCACTGTGACCGCAAGTGGCAATTATACCTGCATTATTGTGTTTTTTTTTTTACATGCGGTTTGTGTAACAAGGTGTAGGCAAAGTATTGACACATTATCACCATATAAAAGTCAATATGGTGAACATGTTCAGGTTTCTGGCCACCTGATGAATGGAAGTCCAGTATTTATTGTCCTTCCAGCGTTGCTTTGCATAGAAATATGTTGAATATTTGCTTTGCATGCCCCTGAGGTAACTGAAACAGATGTTTTAACATATTACAGAAAGAGTAGGAAGTAGGTCTCATAATAATTCACAACCCATAGTTAAATGTTGATGCCTTGTACACCTTGTATCAGGTGTATTATAAATGCTTGAGATGACATAATATTTACTTTGGCAGTTAAATAGCTTGTCCTCTTTCTTCACTGCACTTTGATAAATACTTTAGATTTGAAAAACTGCAGAGGGAGAATGAGTCATGATAAAGCACAATGATTTACAGAGAGAACTGATTCAAGGTAAGTACTTTGGATTTATTCTTGATTTATTCAAGTAGAGTCGATAAAAGAGGAAATTATTCAACCCCTCCTTTCCTGTCTGAGAATAACACATCAGTTTATCTATTCACCCATAGAGGGCAGTAGAGCATAACATTTAGTCAGACCAGCAACCACAGATGTATACAAAAATACGTGGAAACTTGGAGCAGGTTGAGTGGAGGGGAGTTACTCACCTGCATATGAACTTGAGTGTGCTGGCAGGGTTATGCTTTGTGATGCCTTATTTCTCGGGTCAGTGGGGTGGAGTGCGTGATGCAAAGTCTGAAAATGTTGGCTGTTCTGTGGAGAGAGGTGAACGTATCCCGTCTGTCAAGGACTTGTTCCTACGCCTTTCTCTCTTCTTGTCCATTATTTCCTTGAACATTTTGCACTACTGCCTCTCCTCTCGTATAGGTTAAAGCTTCATTATACATGCCTTTTTTTTGCATTTGGTCTGCCAATTTTTCTGACTTACTATGGAGGATCCTGACTTTTAACCCCTTTGCCTTCTGTGAATGCTTGTTTTTGTGCATCATGCTGCATTTGTTCCCCCTGTGATGGCTGCACCTCCACCCATCATCATTAGGACCTGGCACCTCAACTCACATGTACTCCCACTCACACATACACTGACCATATGGATCATTACCCACAGTGGGTCACACAGGACAAACACCTTTACTTCCTAGAGATCAGCAGACAGTCTGCCTCTAATGGCTGGGGGCTGCTGGTGTCCCATTGAGTATGAGTCTGTGTGTAGGATTTCCCCATTAAATAGGCATTGTGACATGGCAAGGGCAACGGGTGAGCGCATCACTTTAACAAACCATTATCCCGTGTACGCTTGCAATCAAAAGCCAAACAGGTGGAGTTGTACCAGTGCAATGCGTGAGATTACTGTGTAAATATGATGATCACTGTCTCCTTAAATAAATGTGTGAATTCCGTGTCAATGTTATAATGGATGATGATTTTATTTTATTAACTGGGAAGCAGTATTTGTCCCACAGAGGAAAAAAAGAAAAGAAGAACAAAGATAACATTGCATTGTGAACTGAATAACTCTGGATTTGGTGCTATCTACTTTAAAACCTACTCTACACATTCAATAACATATTCAATGTTTTATATTTTTTTTCAAATTCATCATTTTGCAAGCTTAAAATATTTTTTACCCCTTATTTAAAGCCCATATTCTTGTGCCTTGCAATGATGTATTTTTGATGTAAGAGCTTTTGCTTTCTGCACGTTGCCTGTGTGTTTTCACAAGTTGCTCACTCATGCTGCATATTCTAATATTTGTCTTTACTTCTGTGTGCCCTTCCTCTAATCAAAAAACAGAGAGATGTTAAAGCAACCGTTTCTCTCAGTGTCTCTTTCACTTCCTTATGCTTTCTCCTTATTGTAATTAATGACACAGGTACATTAAGGTGACATTACTGGAACATTTGTAATTACTGTACATTTATTGCTTTCTTTTTCTCATCAGGGAGTTCCTGGTCCAGGCCAGTACCACATCAGAATTTTAAAAAGCCTGTGAAATCCAGTGGAAACCTGCCGAGGGTCACATGGCCACTTCTCTCCCAGACTGAGGTACAATGCACACAGAACTTGATATAGTTCATAAGTCATTTTGTGCTCTGTATTTGGCCCGTGGGTTAGGGTGCATCTTTTAGGTGAATCAGATTGTACTGTATAGAGCAGGTTCTTTCCCATGCAGATTCAGCACTGCATTTGCCGCCAGGGTCTATTTCATTTTTGATATTCAACTTCCTATTTTTTTGTTTTTGTTTTATTCACTCAAACAAGATGACTAAAAGTTGAGAAAATTAGAGGATGATACTGTAGATTTGTGCAATGATAAGAAGTAAAAAAAAGTGAATCATGTCTTAAACTGATTGACAAACCAGAGCTGATCAGGCAGAACAATGGCCACGTTCTAAAATTAGACAGGGGTGGCCAATTTTTCATTTTAGAACTTGCTAAATCGGTACAGTCTCCAGGAGGGGCTAACCAGTAAAACAGTCATTATACAAGCTATCACTACAACGAATTCCTCACATAAAGGTTTGTTTTTAAGTTTCTTAATATTTAATAGTTGGGTCAATATCACTATAAAGTAACTTTGGTGTCCCCATCAGAATCACTCAGTTATCATGAAAATGTAGCAGAATATTGAAACTCTGAGGTCTTATTATAAAAGGCCAAACATTTACACACACATCAGTAGCTACAATGATAAGTCTCTTGAAATGTGTTTCCTTCATTTGATACCTTATTCTTTCATTGGATACACGCGATTTTGGCATGTCCCACACACTGCTCTGCTAGCTCTGCTAACTACAGTTTGTGTCATAAGTGGTTAAATGATACTACATTAAAAAAATGATATGGTTACTTTTTCCATTAACTGAAATATATTGTTGAGAAAGGGACTATAGCTTTCTGAAAATCTACATTTTATAATCACTATGTAATTACGATGTATTTACTCTTTGAATTTTGTCCATGACAGGATGGATACATTTTTGCTGTTTGCATGTACTTGCAGTTCATTTATAAAAAGTGTGGGAGCTTGACCAACATCCATTTCTAACAGCATAGCGTATACTACTTCATACAATGAATATGAGGTTTAATGGAAAATCTCAGATTTTCTTTTTGGAAATGGGGAAGTCTCAAATGCACCGTATGGTGATATTGACTCAGTTACTTTTTCCAAACCCAAATGAACCACTCTTCACATCAGCATACAATTATATATTTAACCGGCTAAAATAAACACATTTAGATTCTTAGATTAAGTGGGATTACTCTACATAATGCAGTATACACAGACAAATCAATCACATCATATTGAAAAGACTTCTCAGGCATAATCTATTGGAGGCAAATGTATTCAATTTACAATTTCTCCAAAGAGCCTGGATTTTAATATGGAATATTTAAGATTAAGTTACAGATTCCAGACATAGAGCCAGGCTTTGCTTGTTTAATTGATGTGATGGGATCGGAAGGTTCCTTTAGAAGAGTGTGAAGATGAGTTTATTAAGAGGCTCAGAGGAACAGAGATGAAGGATGTGAAAATGTGTAGTATTACGTCTCAGGAATAGCTGAACTCCTCTGTGGCACTGCCCCACAGATTAATTCCTGTGAAACTCTCTGACTGATGTTTTAATTATCACTCTGACACACATGCATAATGTGACGGTGTTTGCTAACACACACATTCAAATTAAGACATACACATTTGCCGACAGATATAGAAAAAATAAATATATGGGGTGTCAAGTACTGCTGACATGGCTACAAATGAACACACCCACATGTCATGTATACACACACGCACACAAATACATATACATTTGGTCACATACGGACGTCTGAAACATAAAACATCTTGCTAGTTTCCTGGTACAAGATTTGTGGGTTCATTTGATCTCAGAATGTGTGTGTGTGTGTGTGTGTGTGTGTGTGTGTGTTGCAGAGGAGATGCACGCAGAGATCTGCTACGCTGAGTGTCTTCTGCAGAAAGCCACGCTGACCGTGTGTGTGTGTGTGTGTGTGTGTGTGTCATTGCTCTGACCCAATTTTCCTGGCCACATGCTGTGTTTCGTGCGTCGACCTTGTGATTTCGTCACTGACGCCCGTCAAGGAAATATGTATTAATGTGTGTGCGTGTGTGTGTTTGTCTGTGTTTGTGAGAGTGTGTGTGTGCACCTGTGTCACAAGTCATCTCCCATGCAGAACTAAGAACGACACATTTCTTAGATCTTCCTCTCCCCGTGAGTCCGGCTCCATCTGACACTGTCACCCTGTGGACGGATGGAGAGGAAACAAGAGAAAGAGGGAGGGGAAGATAAGAGGAACAGCTGGAATCTTCCAACTCTTGCCTCTCTCTCCTCCCTTTGACTTGAATATCAAAGCTTCAATCCGACTCTTGAATGTAAAAACCTTGCCTTTCCCTCGATACTCCTTGCTCCCTCAGCCATCCCCATCCCTCTTTTCTGTTCCCCCAGTTGAATTGTGTTCTTGTGTCTGTATCTGCAGAGAGCCTGTCCGTTGTCCTTTTTTAGTTTTTCAGTGCTGTTTTCTGGGCATTGAAGGGCGTTTCTCTGCCTCTGCCACTGCTTCATGCTGTCCATGCTTGGTCTTTTCCCCACTGAGGCTCTTCTATATCCTGGCAGTGTCTGTGTCTCCTTGGTCAAAAGCTCATTGGCTATTGTTGTTCAGGGCCAACTTGACAAACTGAATCCGCCAAGTACAAATCCTACTCGTTGTGGCTTTTACTTTTCTGTGCCTGACCCCGCACTGTGATATCCCTATACAACACACAATTTTGCCTTTTTGTGCAGTCCAGGGTGGTTTTCTCTTTGCGCTATTTTATATGCTACCCTTCTATTTGTTTATATGTATACTTTTGAAGCTTAATCATCATCTCTCGTTTCAAAAACAGTCCCTTTTCACAAAGATCAGTGCTAATAGCCACACTCAGTTACAGTGACATTAGCGTCTTCAGATAATTGATGGTAACTGAAGCGCATTAATAACGGGTGTCGGCTTCTTCTCATTTATTTTAGGATTCAGTCACTGTGGTGACACAGTGACACAGTGACAGGATGTAATAATGAAAGTTGTGTCATGAAAATAAATTAATACATGAGAAAAAAAAGAAAAAAAAATCACTACATCGACTAAATATAACAATCTCAATGTGTCGGGCCATTTTCAGTGTAATATCTTTAGCTCAATATCTTTTGTGAATCGAACCTTGAGACGGGGCAGATAGCTCCTGCAAATGATGAGCAATTCAAAGAGCTTTCAGTGAACTCAATCCATTCTATGTGAATTTTCTCCTCAACATAAACTCATATTAACAGTGAAATGGGGGTTTTGTTTGGTGCCAGAGGGCCTTGCATTTCTTTGATTGCTCACTCTGAGGCTTCATTAATCCACATGAACAGATGCTAAGACGTTCTGTCACTGAGGTACCCACCGAGGCACCTTGCATGGATGCCATGTTGGCCGGCATTTTACTGTCATACTGTGTTTGAAATGGTAACAAAGTTCAGTCAGTAAGTTTAAGGGGAAATGTTGCCATCAATAAGACAATATCAAAGCCAGAAGGGCATCATTGGATTGACAGATGGCCACAAATCCCAGCTCTACATCTGACTTTGGATGAACACAGTTTGTTTTGGCCTTGAAACAGCATGACTTGTAACTCCTGCTCCTATTTTCTTCTAACACTCGTTATTTTTCTAACCCAAACACTTTTCCTCTCAGTCGGTTTCTTGTCTCTATTTCATCTGCCAGCTGCACTTCTTTACTTGTTTTTCTTTCATTTTTTCTTCTAAAAGCTCAATATTTCAACTGTGTGCATCACTCCAGTCCAGTTATCCCAAAACACATTTTTATATAGGCTGCATATTGTTGAAATTGAAACAAAAAAATCAATGATTGGTATGTTTCCCAAAAAAAAGGGGTAAGTTTGGGACCATTCTTAGTTTGAAAATCATCTGTGTGTGTGTTTGGGCATGGCGATGTTGAAATAATCAAGTACTCTTATTTTATTTCTTATAATAAGATCCAGCTGCATGGTTCAGTTGTGAGAGGCTGAAGTGAAATTTGGAGTTACATTGAATCACAGTTCACCTTCAGTAATTTTGACTGAAAAGGGTACCCATCTGCCCCAGTCTCATGATTGCCTGTGTTGTTATAATAGGCAATCAGATGAACACATTTATACCCTGGAAGTGAGGCTGGTAAGCATCTGCAGCGCTGAATCAGCTCTGATATCAGCAAACAAGTCAAAAGAACATCACAAACCTGATTGTGTGCATCATTATCGCTGAGTCGGGGATGCTGTTTACCCCATCTCCTTTTAGCTCTCCTGTCATTGCTATATTTTACTCTCTTTTCTTTTTTATTGTTACATGTTACTTGTTAGACGCTTTTATCCAAAGCGACTTACATACTCAATACTGTGGACAATCCCCACAGGAGCAATTTGGGGTGAAGTGTCTTGCCCAGGAACACAACCACATGCTGACTGCAGTGGGGTTTGAACCTGTGACCCCCTGATCCGAACACCTACGGACACTACGCCACACGCCTCCTTATTGTATGTTTGTTTATGTTTAGAGTTTTTCTTGGTCTTTATTTATTTTCTTTAGTTTTCTCATAGTTTATTAGCATTTATTCATTCAATTGGGATAGCAGAGAGCAGAATAGCATTACAGCTCTGTCGAAAAACAATGGCAATTTGTTTGTCTGCTTTTAAGATGTCAGTTGCACTTGGCAACAGCCCCTTACTTATCATGGATTAAGCAGTGGATAAAAACTATTATTTTGTATATCTTAGGAGCAATGGTTAAGCTGAATCTCCTAGCTATATGTCATACAAGGTCCCCTCAAATAAACAGTTGATAAAAATGTAACCCTTTACCTAAACTATCCATCCCCATATGGTGCTTTCTGGTGTGTTATGATGAGCAGTAAATCACTACAAGGCTCATATGGTCGATAATAGACTGTTGGTGTTAATGTAGGCTGTGCGCAATTTGGCTGTGTTTGTTTGTCTTCTTTCTATGCTTGGTTTCTCTGACTGTGATATTGTTGTTCCTGTGGATAAAGCAAATATTCACTTCTATTTTAGTTTTGGTGTTAGAAGTTAGAAAAACAAACGTTAAAGCATTTTACTACAATGCTGATTTCAGTAGGTCTCATTCCCTTTTATCTCCCCATTAGAGGTTAACCCCTGCAAAAGCCCTGCCGCCCCCTGTTGATGTGTATAATGATCAACTCTGTGCCCTGGAGCTGCTTCAGAGAACCACGGGAGTGAAGAAAAGCCATTTGGCATCACTGCAGTGCGCACCTTTTAGAGAAGGTTTATGAATTGAGGTTTATGAATTGTTGTTTCTAATTTGCGTTGCCTTGTCCAGTGATGTACGTTTCCTGCATCCCTGACTAAATACAAATACCAAAGGACTCATTGAACTTACTATGGATGAGCCGATTAACATGAAACAACTTGACCAACAATTGCTGAAAATCTGCTTTTAAGATACTGTATATGTATCATGTTTAACATTCTTCATACTTCATCATATATTGTACACAAATGTATCCTTCATTTTCTTGCTCTTTATTTCCTTAGTGTTTCATTAAGCAGTAGGAACTGGAAGGGCTTTCTCAGCTATGCTATTTATATACTGTGTATATAAAAAAGAATCATTATTCTGTAGTGTGCTTTTTCTTCTCAAGCTGTTTTCAAATCTGGTGTTCATCATACATGCTAAAGTATTGTTAATGAGACAGCTATAAAAATAGCAGTAACACATGAGTGTCTCCATGTGAAATTAAGTATTAGTGTGCAGGTGTAGCGCAGGCGTAATTCACAGTGAAAGCCAACTGTCTGTTTTAATCCCGTTTTGTGTCATTGTAGAGTTTTGGACCGAACTGATGGGTTTATGGGAGGTAAGCACTCCACGATGTTGTCTTGGGCCAACTCACAGTAAAAAGAAGGGTCATATAAAAACATACTCTGCTGCACAAGCACACACAATAATCCCCATTTGATGTCATCTGTGCAAGTTCAGGGTCCTATCATTTGTTTGAGCATGGTTTAGCCCGGGAGAGTCTTAAAAGGCAGATTTAGAGAAAACCAAGAAGGAAGGCTTTAGCTCCAATGCTCAGCGCAACTCCTTCTTCCACAACAAGGAATTGATGGAGGTCCCAGGTCCAGGAGGGCATGAGGTAGGAAGATCTATCAATAATCATGGGGAACTTTGGCCTCAGAACGTCTGCCACTGCCAGCTAATGTAAGTCTGATTCCCTCTGTCTCCCAGCATGCCCTACAGTTACTTTTTCTCGCTCTTCTTATCCTCACACCTAGTTTCTGTTGTAAAGCCGCTAACGCCTGCCTAACAGAGGCGTCATAGGTGAAGTAAAACAGCATTTAATGCCAAGTTTAGTTTTTTATAAATGGGCCCTCACAGCGGTAGCATCTGACCCACTACTCCCTGGGTTTTGTTTTCCAGCAGTTAATTGTCTTTGACTGCTTCTTTTCATCTTTCCCACTTCCTTCTCTTGCTCATTGATGCTGAATAAAACAGGTCAAAAGTGGTGATAATTATTTTCTTGTTCCTCTACAATGTTCCTTTAATTAGTTGCAATCCTCCTTGTTCCTCTTTAACCCACTTTCCAGACTTCCTTCCTTTTAAACTGAGGTTGATATGAACCTAATATAATATCTTTAGATACTCTCTTCACTTTGAAGTATAACTGTATTTAGTTGTATTTAAATGATATTGTTCTTGCATTTTTTTGATGATCTTTCATGAATCTTTCCTGAAACTAAAAGAAAACGAGATCTTGCTTTTACTGTATGTTTCTATTTCTATTTAATATTGAATACTTGTTTTATGTTAAACTTTCTTTATCTTGCAATGAGATGGTTACAGCACAGCCGAAGTGAATGGTATACATTTGAAAACGTGACAGTGTTGTGTATTGTGCATGCTGTAAGTCTTTGCCCTGTATGACACAGGAAGGTGTTTATTTGCATTTGAATAATATGCTAATGAATAAACACAGAGAAGCAGCTGGACTGCAGTTACTTACTTGCTTTAGTATTGAAAAATAGTTCTAGGAGAAAATTATGTTAATGTCATGCTAGAGTGTGTACTACAGCATTTCAATATTCAAAATATACATTTGTATTTGTATGTTCCCTTTTGGGTACCAGCCGTTGTTTACTCTGATTAACTCCAAAGTGTGGTCTAAATCGCAAAGGTCTCCAGAAAGACAGAGTTTAAAAGGTAAATCTGCGCTTACAAATGGCCGAACATTCCCTTGGTTTAGTTTATCATCTCATAGCTTTCATACATATCGCTCACACAGTTTTACACTGTTGATATGACTCACTTCCTTACAGTAATATCACAGCAGGGGGTATCCTTCATTAGAACGTTTCCACGCACTCTAAGTAGGTTGGCAAAACAGCCTTTTTTAGAAACCCAGTTACATGCAAATCAGATTTATTTTCTCCACTATGGCAAAAATGTAAAACATTTGTTTCCTTTATATGACGTCACCCAGGCCCAGTAGTTATCAGTCCTCACCGTCAGGAAACAGTGCCCTGCTGGGTTTTGTTCCTTTCCGTCCAATCAGGGAGTTATTTACACCTCGGACAACAAGCGTATGTAATTAGGGACCTGGTAGGACATAAACCAGCAGGAATCTGGGTCCAAAGCACCAGGATTGAGAACTAGTGCCACACGGATTGAGAAGCACAGCCTTGGAAATATAAAGGTGTTACATTGTATTATATCACTTAATACACCTGCCTTATAAATTAGATTACTTGTGCTATACATCAGAGTTTTCCATTGGGAGAGGAAGGGGGCAGCTTTGATGGTCCCCCTTTACCCAGTGCCACTCTGCTCTGCCCTACATAGTGGAATAATATTGTCATAAAACTCTTGATAGTATCTTGATCGTAGAGAATATTTTTTAGGGATGTCTCTGCAACTAATAAACCACTATGCCGAGCATGGCATTTGTTTCAGTTTTAACACTGTTCGAAGTTTGTATGCGAGTATAGAAATACTTGTGTCCCCAACTTGTGTGTATTTATAAATATCCATTATTGTAGTGTTCTATTGAACAATGAGGAACACTCACATTGGCACATCAAATTAACCTAAGAAAACTGACAAACTATACGATACAAAATCTGGTGCCGATCACCTCTGAAGTAGTCTCTGCCCCATTTATCTGACTATGCCGTTTGCCATTTTTCATGACAATGGCTCTGCATAGTGTTCTGTCTGGCTGCAGTTTATTGTGCTGATGGATGATCGAGCTCACCCAGAATCCTTGGTGTGCTCGACACTAGACAGTAACACTTGACAACCATACACACAGTCCACATAATGTCTGTGTTTCAGATTGTCATCTACCAATACAGTGCTGCAACAGTATATGTCTACATCTGGATATCAAAGGTCTGCTATTTTTGAAATGATCAGTGGTACTCTCATTTATTGCTGGACACACAGGGTGATACAATATTTAACAATGGTTAAAACTTTGTTCAATTCCCAGTGGCAGCACCTCCAACTTGGTTTTGTATTCTGACAAACATAATTGGCTGCTATTGCAGGTTGAGCTGGCGAGGTCAATGTGGAGAGAGGCGGCTGGCGGCACAATGTGGCACAGAGGCAGCACATGTCTGTCTGCAGCACCCCTCGGCAAACAGCAGGGTGAGCTGTGACAGGGACTGTAGGGGACAGGGTGGAGACCTTCTAAATTGGGACAAATCTGATAAAAAATGTAATAAAAAAACCCCATAGTATTCTCTTTTTTTTAGATACACAATATAACATCCATAATTCCTCTCTTTGCTTTCTTTTAAATTCTCTTTATTTCTCTGAGTGCTCTGTATACGGAAGATCTGAGGCCACTTGTTACGACTTCACATAGAGCCTCCTTTATGACCAGTTAATGAAAAATCACCCGGGGACGCCTTAGCTGTAACAGTTAGCCCCATGCCGCACTGCAGCCTAGGCTGTATCCCTGGTAACACCCCGTCTCCCACTGGTTCGGATATTAAAAGTGTCTAATTGGAAAACAATCATGATAATGTAAAGGGCCAAAGACAAGAAACAAAGGGAAAAAATAATACAGGCAAAATGTGTGTCTTTGTTATCGGTTTCATGTTTGGGAGTTTGTTGTACTTAAAAGCTTCATCTAGCTGTAAAGGTTGACATTTGATGCGGGAAATGATTCACATTGTGTGGCTTTTGAAATCAGAAATATAAAAGACGGATTATGTCAGTTGAAATGACAGAAGCTGTCTCGTGTGGAGTATGAAACACAACGGGGAGACCTGTTATCAGACCGAAATATATGTATTACAGTCTTCCCTTGTCTCTAATAACAGCTGCTTTGCTTTTTATGATCCATATCTTTAAACAAAAGATCGGGAGTGTTTGTTATTTTTTGAGGAAAAGTGCCGTTTATTCAATCACATCTGTCTATCCAAATAGTGGTTAAAAACACATTCAATAAAATAAATGGTATGATTTATTGAAGTAGATCTTTTTATCTTATGGTGCACCCTCATTCAAAGAATACTTACATTTCTGACAGTGTAAATCAAACACCCCTCAGCCGGTTCAAATATTTGAAGCTTTATTTGATATGTACTTTATCTGCAGCTCTGAATCTGATAAGAGTTGATTACCTGTCTGTGGAGAAGCAGACATGGTCTTAAGAAATGTCAGATCTCCAAGGAGAGATGTTTATGTGTGGAGCATATCTGTGAGAGTTTGGTCTTCCGGTGTTATTTCTCCTGATCCTCATCTCTCTCTCTCTTGTTCTGATATCTCCTCCCTCGTCTCTTTCTCCTGTTTTCCTTTCAACCCCCTTTACTTCCTCCTCCTAGTCTACTTTCCACATGCGCTGCTTTCAATCTCTTGCTTTCATTTCCTTCCTCCTACCCAACCCTTTTTGATAATGACCTTTCTGTTGCTAAGGTCGTGGGATACCCCCAGGCAGCGCTGGGAGAGAATAAGTGTGGAATTTAATTTGGGCCTATGTTTTACCCCAAGGCAGTGGAATTCCTCTCCTATAGATTAGGGAAATATCACTCTGTCCCTTGAAGCGATAGAGGGAGGTTTGACACGCCGTGTTGTCGGTCTGTCAGTCGTTTTTTACCAATACATGTCTGCCTCTGTCAATCTGTTCTTTTTCAAATGACGTTGAGATGAATAGAGGTCTTGATGGATGGTTATTGTTATACGCTGTGAGAGTGAGGGACTTCAATTGGCAAGTGCATTGGTTCAATAATGAGGTGTTGCCAATAGCTTTAATGAGAAGTGCACTTTCACTAATAGGTGCACAATAAGTGAATTGTGGGGAATTCATTACCTGTTGATGATCTTGGATACTTTGATACACAAGCAAAAAAATAAAAAAATGTATTTCAGAATGACTGTGTTTCACTGCAGTTAAAGAAGTTGACCATCCACAGAGAGACATGTTTCTCTAACAAAAGTAGCCTTGATACTTTATAATCTAAAAATATATATATATATATCAATATCCAAGTACTTTAAAACAGAGAGAGGTTTCCACTGCCACTTTGTTCAAACATTACTTTGATGGCAGCGCTGCTGATTCTTCTTTTTTACTTCTACCTGCTGTGTTACCATGGCAACGGAAAACCCTCAGGATAATAATGCAGGTGCAATTTTTATTCTGGTAGCATAGTTTTCTGAAGTACACTTGAACATATTCTATATTTTAATCTACATGAGCAGTCTAAGTATAACATCAGCATGAAGTTTGTTGTTTCATGCTGGAAAATAAATATGGTATCGCAGAAATAATTAATATTTATGTTGTTATTAATGTAAAAGTGTACTTTACCCATTGATAACATTTATATAGGATTTCCTTCATAGCTTCTTAGTGTGATTTGCTCGACTAAAATTACCTTCAACCTTTTTTTTCAAAGCTCTGATAGTAACCCTCAGAAAAAAACTCTTTTAAAAAAGACATTTTAAACTGATTTCACCAAGCAATAATGTCTCTGCCAGTCAAACACATTTGAGTTTATCTGCACTACTATCTGTTACGAGCCACCCTTCATAACGCTACTGCCTCAGTGTGTAACTTGCTTGATGGAATCAGTCAGATAATATTAATACATGGCTTGTACATGTATCACTGGCAGCCATTGTTCCAGGATTCATTATACAGCAACAGTGGGACAATAATAATGAAAACAAATAAAGAAAGGAACACTTCACACATCCTTCACAAGGAAACTCGTGCTGCTGCTTTCGGAGGTAACACACTGACTCACAATGCCATGGAAACTAATATAAGTTTATTTTCACAGTTACTCATTGTGCCCTTTTTTTTTTTCTCCTTTTGCACAATTGTTACCAGGATTGACAGGTAGATTGGACATAATTACAGTCATTCAGTGGTGCAAGTAGTTCATTACGATGCATAAATATGTCAGGTGTGGCTGTACCAAGGTAACTTCAGAATGAGCTATGTGGAATACAATATGCATTACATTACATTTAGCTGGCACTTTTATCCAACTTACAATAATATACCATCATATTAACTATATTGTATTTGTTCCAATGACAAAGATAATCATCATTCACAAGGATTGACACACTCAAAGAATACCTCATTGTCAATAACAAGTTGGAAACACGTCATTGATCTCTAAAATAGATTGAGAAAGAGAAGAGAAATTAAACTGAATGTAAGAAACAGTTGGAGGGAGTAAAGGAAAGACTAAGAGGAGGAGAGAGAGCCTCTGTGTGTAACGTGTAATCATCTATCCTATTAGCTTTGGTTGAGATAATTAGAGTGTTTGCTAAACACACATTTATCAAACTGCAGCACAGCTTTGCCCTCCCGCTCTGCAGAATGAGCCAAACCCCAACAAAAAAAAACGGGATGTGAAACTATACTTAAAATGAAAGGCGGAGCGGGATGTGATTGAAATAGGGATGAAGTAATTAGCAAAAAAGAGGGACTGATAGAAAACAAAGCTTGAAACCGGTAAACAAAAAATAATGGAAAGGCAGAAGAGATGAGAAAAAGAGAGGCATTGCTGTCTGTCGCTTTGGTGAGATAAAGATATGGTTGATAAATGTCAGTGAGACAAAGAGTGTAGCATGGACAATAAGGCCATGGACAAGATATTTTTGAAGGATCTGGTAGAGTAAAATATGCAGCGACCCAGCGTTTGTCACTTATTGACTTTTTGTCTCTGTGTTTCATTGCATTATTTTGATATATCCATGGACAGCTAATGGCATGTCATGGTGCAGCCTCTGTTTATGGCAGACAGGGGAGTCAGGTGATGAAAGAAAGGAACAAAAACAGGAAAATGAAGTTATAGATTTGATATGGATTTTACTGTCAGCTGTCAGGGTAATGATGATGATGTGAGTGCCTGTGAGGATTGAAGCGCACCCAGATACATAGTGCACATGCTGAAAAATGGGCGGACTCAAAAAAGGCCCATAAACACATAGATAAAAAAAAAAATGTATGCAACTATACCCTGATTGTGCATACAATATACATACAGTATATGTACATGCCTTTATGAATGCATGCAAATATGGTAGTACCACATACGCAGGAGACTTCCCCTTTCATTTGCTCTCACCTATAAACACAAATAAAAAGTGAATGATTTTAAAGGCTCTGGAGAGTTGCGTACACATGTTTTTTCATTAATTGCAATGTAGGTAAACAGTAGAAATCTATTATAACAGGACTTTGCGCTTGCACGTATTTGATTGGTCAATATTGGTTGCCATCAATTCGATCAAATTATCCTGATTTGATTGCAAGTTTCACAGTTTAATCTACGCAGTAGCCGAAAAAACAACACCACAGGAACCTAGGATTATTCATTTCTGATACAGAATATTGGGGTCTTGGATTTGCTATTAAGATTAAACCATTCATAATTATGTTAGTAACGAATTATACATTTCTTAGGCGTTTCTCGTTTCTCTCCTTTGTGTGCATGAGGAAATAACCATTTAATTGGCACTATCTATATTTGCACCTAGGTCAGAAAGAGTAAATAAGTATAAAAGGCTACTGTTTCATTATCATAGAATATATTTAATCAGAGCACTCACATACGATTGTATCACTATCAGAGCACTAAAGAACAGCTGTTTGCAGACAGCAGCGCTCTTTGTCTCTCCTTCTCCTTATCTTTTCGTTGACTGTTCCTTCACGTTCCTATAGGTAACTTTGTGCCTATGTGTTGCCACAGTGGGAAAAATAGAACTAAGGCTGAACGTTTTGTCTCTAATCATCAAAAAGATAAGGAGAACTGTGTGATGTCTGTCTATTGATCTCCTCCAATGCGTTTCAGTTATATGAACAGTACATCACCTACACATGTGGCCAATAAAACACACTGTTTTAGTCGATAACAATGCTTGAGTTATTTAGGTTCATGAGAGGAGAGGCTTGATTATATAATTATAGTGCCTATACTTCTGGTATCTGTCTTAACGTGGCTTAAAAGAGTGTGATGTGTTATTCATGTGGATTTAACCACTGATCCGCTGTTGTATCTATTCCCTCCAAACAGCCAATGTGCAAACTGAATGCCAGCTGTAAGCTGTATAACTCCAGTTAGTTGTGTTACTTCCCTCCAGTCTCTCTTTTTGTGTCAGTTGTCTCTGTTTGTTTATGAAGTAGATACATTAAGACCCGGGCTAATTTATGCCTAATTACATTTTTCTATTGACTCTGGCTGCAATCTCTACTGCTACCACACTGCAGCCTCTAAAAGTGTTGCTTCATGTTCTAAACACAGTACGTTTTGAGCAACTTACAGAGCAGCAAGGTCAGTGAGGGCTCCACCTTTCGCCATTTAGCCAAAGTTACAATCAGTTGTGATACACCATACGACACTGACACCATCAGCATCACTACAAGCTGGTCTCCTGCACAGATCATGATGAACAGGGTTTATGTAAAACAGCCAACAGGTGAAGGCTGACTTTTGTACCTGCATTTAATGCTTTGTTCTGCATTCTGCACCATGTGTCTATATTTATTGTTTCAAATGAATTTCCCTTTACAGTAAATATAAGTGTCTGAAGTGGACTATGACAGATTATCAGTCTGACTTATTATCCGCTGCAATATTCAACATTTTTTACGATTATCGAAATAGTTTTTAATAAAGATTCACGCACTTTCGGGTCAGTGAAACTTCCCAAGTAATAGCCGCTACTTAAAAGCTAATGTGCCACATAAGAGAATCCAGTCTGAAGTGTAATTCATGCCCTCTACTGATTTACCGATCTAAGAAACGTAACTACAGAACAGCTCTACAACTCAGTGTGGGAGTATTATCCTCAACCTACACCAGGACAGCCTGTTTTCTATAAAGACCATTCCAGCATGAGAAGAGCAAGGGTTCTTTTTTCATTTAAAAGATAATGTTGAATTTCTGTTTTGCAGCAAATCACTCATATATACTTAAAGGCATTTATCTTAGTTTTGTGTTGGAAATGTGTTATTTGGGATTTTGACACTAAGATTTTAGTTGTAATAATAATTACTGCAAATCTGAGTCTTTGATTACAAATAATTGGTGTTAGTATCAGCCCTGAAGAATGACATTAGTCCACACCTAGTCTGAAGTAAAAGCTGCAGTTATTTGACCTGACCTACGACAGTATATGTCTCCCTATTACTCACAAGCAAATCATTTGTAGACTCTGTGAGGCCAATGTCTGCTTTTTAAGCGCCTATGTCTGGGCTTTTGTTCGCTTTTCTGCTTTATTTTTTTCAGTGAAATAGATGTGAGATTGCTATCCATTAAAAGATGCAAGTCTCTGGCTGGTTGAAAAAGAAAGTCTCTAATTCAAACAGTTTGCTGCATCTATGTTAAGTCTGATCCCCGATGATATGACAGCCCAATCAACTGACAGATAAAAAGGGCAGGACTACAAGTTTGAAGTTGTGTCAGAGACTAGAGGCTGCATGGTTCAGGAACCCTTACACAGTACAATAAATGCACATGGCTAACAGACAAATCATTTTTCTACTCTTAACTCATCTTTATTTGGTGCTGAGAGAGCCATGGGGTCATTAAAACCAAAGACTATCCCCCTAGGAGCTTGAATATTCTCAACAAATTAAACAGCAATTTGGGGACCGTCCTTGCAAGAACAACAACAGCTCAGTTTCTTTTGGTAAATGCCTCGAAACAATATTTGTTTATGAATGAATGAGCTCAGTTAATTTCATGGCAGCCTTCTCATTTTTCATATTTCTTGTGTACAAATTGATGTTTGCCTTTCAGTGGTACCAGAGAAAAGGTCTGTAGACTTTTCACACGTTGTTAACCCAGGGTTAACCTAAGCCCAGGGCTATTGCGGTTCACACTGCACTTCTACACTGAATTGTGCCAGTGCAAAATCTTTCTCCAGCCCCGGCCAGCAGCTCACTTAGCCTGGTAGTGTCAAAACCCCTAGGGAGTTACCAAAAACAACAATTTAGACATAATTCTATGGACAAAAACTGCCTTACTGCCTACAGTTTAAACAGAAATTGTGATGGGAAGCTTGAAAATAATACTATAGGCTTGTAGTAAGAAATATGCATAACTATTATGTCAGGACATTGCCATTTTGATAACGACAAAAGTCAACACTTAATAAACAACGACGATAAATGCTTGCTGTAGAGCTGCTGACGTAGATATCCAAGATTTCTGAGCTTCCGTATGTTTTTTTTGTGAAATGTCACTGAAAAAGTGAAAAAACTGTCTTATATATGGTTTGAATAATAATCTTTTACAATATGTTTTTCATTTGTGATTTGCTAAACAGACTGACGTTAAGTTCTGACCTCACCTGCTCTCTAATTGAGTTAATTTCCTGCCTCGAAAGGGATGGAAACATATTAAGTGATACGTATCTAATGCAAATGTAATATTTTAATTACACTGGTGCATTATTTCAAATCAGTCTTGATTTATAACAACACCACCCGGTAGAGGTTGGGGCGGTTAAATGAAAGATAAGTGAAAGTAGATAACCACATAGACAGTAAAAGGACAGCTTGAGCGACTGGAATAAATGTGAAAAATGAGCATGCATGCATGAGCAACAGAGGGAAAGACGTAGAAAGGAGAGCTCCTAACAAGTGAGTCTTAAAATGTGTGATAGGGCACAGATGGAGAACTTGTCTGTGTAGCACTTTCGGATTTTATGATGTGTGTATGCTCTCTAAGTTATTGCTTGGAGGAAAAGATCACATACGCTTGGTGAAATTCTTTTTCTCTCTTTTCTTCTCTTGCTCTCTTGCTGTGAAGTCCTGGTTATTGTTAGCTCCCTGCTGTCTTGCTGTTGTAAAACAAGTGAACTGAAAAACATCCCTTCCTCAAAAACAGTCTGACTGAAAATAAAATACATTTGACAAGTGAAGGTTGATAAATCGCTACATGACTCCTCACACATTCGCACGACTCAAGAGCAAGCTTTTGTGGAGTCCATACGCAATATCAAACAACGCAGGATGGAAAATATTTCGAAAAATAGGTATTTGCAAATGTTTAATGTGAAAGGAAATGCAATCAAAACATTTAGTAGACCTCTAGGATATACACACAAAGCTGTACTATGATCAGAAGCACTGAAGGTAAACATAATCTCTACTTGTTTACAAGACAATTTACAAGGCCCATTTAAGGTTAGGCAATACACATTCTTGGTTGAGAAAATATTGTGGTGATGTTTAAAATATCTACTAAGTAAAGGTTAGTAAAAGATGAGTTGATTGTTTGTAGAAGAAGTGACGCTACAAGAGGTTTCCTGTCAGAAAAACCAAAGCATACATTGTTTAACCAAGTTAAAGGCAGTTTTTTCTAGGTTCGTACCATTGCAAAAATCAAGCTGTTTCTCTCTTCCAATGATCTTGAGAAAGTCATCCATGCCTTTATATCATCCCGTCTAGACTACTGCAACTCCTTATATGCTAGGATCTGTCAGTCATCCCTGTCCTGCCTGCAACTGGTCCAGAACGCCGCAGCCAGGCTCCTCACAGGTACCCGGAAGAGGGACCATATTACCCCCATTCTGGCCTCTCTCCAACTGATTTTGAAATTGCCCTGTTTGTGTATAAAGCCCTAAATGGGCAGGGCCCCTCCTCTGTTGCAGACCACATATCCCGTATTCTAGCTCCAGGCCCCTCAGGTCGGCTAACCTGGGGCTCCTGGTCTCCCCCATCAGAACACCCCCCTCCATTTACTGCTTTAAATCCAGGCTAAAAACATCATTTTTTTCTCTAGAGTTAGACTCCTTATCTTGCTGATAGTGCCTATGCCTATGTATTTGGTTATTTATGAATATGATCTGTGTGTATTAATGTTTACGTTGGTGTTTATTTATTTTTTAAATTTATTTTATAAAAGAGTGTGTTGGATACCTGCTCTGTTCTGGACAGCACTTTGGTCAACGTGGGTTGTTTTTTAATGTGCTTTATAAATAAATGTGATTAATTGATTGATTAATTTTCCATTTTTCACTGACATTTCTCCAAAAAGACATATAGGGAAGCTCAGAATATCTTGGATATCTGTCATGATTAATACAATATGTCAACTTCCATGCTTTCCATTGCATTTGTTGGTACAATTGATTGATTTATTAACTCAATGTGGTACAAAAAAGCTATCTTGATTTCTGAATCCAGAATTGTTCAAACGAATAACCACCAACTGCTTTTCCTGTGTCTGGTGAGGAAAGTTTTTTATAAGCATCAGAAAGAAAACAAAATCAGCATTTGGGTCAGTGCAAGCTGTGTTCATTGTTTTAAGTAGGATAAATTGATTTGTTACGTTTTTTTTCTCTCCTTCTGTCTTGGAAAAAGCTGGCACATAAACAAAAGGAGATTATGTCTTCTTATATTTGTTGCCTGTCTCCGTCTTGAATTCAGTTTCATGTTCAAGTTACACAAACAGGCTCAATTAGAGATAAATACAGTAGTCTAGCAGGAAGGGCCCTCAGATTTCGAGATACCCCTACCCGAGGTAGAACAAATGACAACAATGATTTTTCTTATCTTTAGGGTCTCCCATTAATGAAATTGATTGTTGTCAAATTTTATTTTGGGGGAAAAAATGTTTTTTGGGTTGTTCTTTAGAACTACCCCAACCCCTGAAAAAGAGCCAAATTAGACCAGGCCGAATGTGGGAAAGGTGACTAAAAAGCACATAACTTGAGAATCATCACTGTTTTCCTCCTCAGATTTGCTGAGGTATGAACCAGGTGGCTGTCCTACATAACTAAATAGTCAGACAATTATTTAACTAAAAAAATACTGAATTATAGTCCTGTAAACTTAGCTTTAGTTTAGACGGAAATTGTACTTTTGGTGATAGGAACATAGGACTCAATCACTTTTCTCTCATTTATCAGAAAAACAGAAATCCCTAAAAAATATACCATTACTGAATTGTCTAGGGTGCTATTGAACACTAACCAGTAGTTGTATGGAAATATCTGGTACAGTTCTATTGCAAATGAGATTTCTTTAGACATAGGCCTACCTCTTCTCTGATACAGTCACATTCCGAATGGGGGATAAGTGGCAT